AACATGTGGTATTTAACCTTTTGGGATTGGTTCATTTCTCTTAGCATAATGGATTCCAGTTGGGCCCATTTGGCCACAAAGAACTGCATTTCATTTTTTTAAATAGCTGAGTAGTATTCCATGGAGTATATGAGCCATAGCTTTCTTATCTAGTCCTCTGTTGATGGGCATTTCGGTTGCTTCCAAGTTTTTGCAATTACTGATTGTGCTGCTATAAACATAGGGGTGCATGTTGGTTTCTTGTAAAACAGGTGTTTTGGATATATTCCTAGGAGTGTTATTGCTGGGTCATATGGTATGCGGATTTTCAATTGTTTCAGTATCCTCCATACTGATTTCCATAGAGGCTGTACAAGTTTGCAGTCCCACCAACTGTGGAGTAGGGTTCCCTTTTCCCCAGCAAGTGTTGTTGGTGGTTTTTTGTATGTGTGCCATCCTTGCTGGCATTAGGTGGTACCTCATTGTTGTCTTCATTTGGATTTCCCTTATTGCTAGGGAACTTGAGCGTTGTTTCATGTTTGTTTGCCATTTGGGTTTGTTCCTTTGTGAAATGTCTGCCCATTTCCCGTGCTAGAGTTCCTCTTTCTTTACATCTGCCAGCATAGGCTGCTCTCTGTCTTTTGCCATTCTGTCAGGGTTGAGATAAAAATCTCATGATTTTGCATTTCCCTGATGGCAAGTGATGTTCACCAATATTTTACGTATTGTTGACATTATCCATTTCTTTTGAGCACTGTCTATTTAATCCTTCCCCTATTTCTTAACTGGATTAATTTTATTGTTTCTGAGTGTTTTCAGATGTTGATATATTTGGGGTACTAATCTTTTGTCCAATAAGCAGCAAGTCATTACATATATCAATGTCTTGAAAAGCTTTCCATACATTTTATTCTTGTCTTAGGTCTTAAATTGAGTTCTTTGATCCATCTTGAATTGATTTTAGCGTATGGTGATTCCAGAGTCATTTTAGTGTCAATATATATATGAACATCCAAGTTTGCCATCAATATTTACTGCTATTATCCTTTCTCCAGTGTATGCTCTGAGACTTTTATCAAAAATCAGTTTTCTGGGTCCAGTGTATAGTAGCCTAGCAGCTAAAGTCCTCGCCTTGCACACACCCGGATCCTATATGTGTACCAGTTCTAATCCCAGAGGTCCCACTTCCCATCCAGCTCCCTGCTTTTAACCTGGGAAAGCAGTTGAGGTCAACCTAAGGCTTTGAGACCCTGCATTCGTGTAGGAGACCTGAAAAAGGCTTCTGGCTCCTGCTGTGGATCAGCTCAGCTCCATCCGTTGCAGCAACTTGGGGAGTGAATCACCAGACGGAAGGTCCTCCTCTCTGTATATCTGACTTTCCAATAAAAATAAAAAGAAATCTTTTTTTTAAGATCAGATTTCTGTCTCATATATATAATACATGTATTATGTATAATATATAATATTATATAAATGACACACTATATGTTAATTTCTGGATTCTCTGTTTTATTGATCTCTGTGTTGGTTTTATTACAATAGCAAGCTGTTTTAATTGGTATAGGTTTGGAACATTAAGTATTGAATACAGTTTTTACTTGAATATAAAGTAAAAATACTTCAGAAACAATCACTAATAAAATATTTTAAATATCTAAAATATTTATTATCTATCCATTTTAAAAAGAAAAAGAAGATTCCAGACCAAAATACCTAATAAAGAACAATTTAATTTTCTATAAACTAACCTTTGATTTATTATTGACTGTGGATCAGAGGCTGAGCTCTACCTTCAGACCAGAGATAGTCTCCCCAAGAAACCATTGAACTTATCTGGGCAATAAGACGCTGGACTTGATGCTTGCAATGAAAGAATCTCAACTGAATTTGAACTGTGGTAATGCAACAAGGTGGAGGAATCCACCATGGGGAGAGGGAGTAGGGGGAGATCCCAGTGCCTATAACACTGTGTCACATAATGCAATGTAATTAAAAAGAAAAAAATGTGAAGACCAAAAATAAAAGTGCAAAAAAAAAAGATTAGTAGATTTTCTTCATCAACACAGATCCATATGTTTTCTGTTAAGTTAGGGAGATGCATCAAAGGTTATGGTGTTCTTGTCATATGGAATATTCACTGATTTGTTTTCAAACTTAGAACAACTTTTTCAATTCTTTATGAAAATGTTTCACATTTTTATTTTTTAATTGTTATTTTCTGTGATAGTCTGTAGATATAGATTCCCCTCTCCACTTCCCCCTTCCCCCCACCCCCCGCATTCTGTAGTCCTTCAGCAACAGTCACAAGTCCAACATTGTAGGAATGGGCAGTGGCGGAAAACCTAGTGTCATATTGTCAAGTTTAATATTTAATAGTTTAGTTGGGAGGCCTCCTTTTATTCAGAAGTAGAGATGCACACTGCAACGTGTCTTCACTTCCCTGTATGCTAATCTGCATTATATAGTTCACCTATGAGAATGTATGCATATACTTGTTTACCTATGTATCTGTTGGTTTTGT